TATCAGGGTTGATCTCGATTCCCCGATTGGACACTATGAAACCAAGAAACTTGCCCAAGACAACCCCGGATGCACACTTTTCGAGGTTGAGCTTAATATTGTATTTCCTCAGTATATCGAAAGTCTCCTGCAAATGCTTTAAATGGTCCTCTGCTCGCAGAGACTTAATTAACATATCATCAATATAAACTTCCATTGATTTTCCTATTTGTTCTTCGAACATTCGGTTTACTAGGCGTTGATAAGTTGCACCAGCATTTTTTAGACCGAATGGCATTACATTATAACAGTAGGTACTGTACTTAGTGATAAACGAGGTCTTTTCCTGATCCTCCGGGTTCATCTATATCTGGTTGTACTCGGAGAAGGCATCGAGAAAACTGAGAGTCTCGTGGCCGGCCGTGGCATCGATCATACGATCGATATTAGGCAAAGGAAAAGAATCCTTGGGGCATGCTTTATTCAGGTTTTTATAATCTACACACATTCTGAGTTTGTCTCCCTTCTTAGGGACTACCACTACGTTTGCTAACCATTCAGGATACTTTACTTCCCGAATGGATCCTATTTTGAGAAGTTTGGTTACCTCGTCTTTGATGAAGGCATGTTTGACCTCGGACTGGGGCCTTCTTTTTTGCTTCACCGGGAGGAATTTAAGGTCCAGGCTCAGTTTGTGAGTGGTAATTTCTGGTGGGATCCCTGTCATATCTAGATGGGACCAAGCAAAGCAATCCATGTTAGCTTTAATGAAATGAATAAGTTTTTTCCTGAGCTCGGGGGTTAGCCCCGTGCCCAGGTATACCTTTAGTTCGGACTGATGCTTGGCCAGTGTGACTTGGTCCAGCTCTTCGACCGTTGATTTGGTGGCGTCGGAGTCATCGGGAATTATGAAGGATCGAGGGATCCAATAGTCGTCATCCTCGCTGATCCCTTGTTTCTGAAATTGGGTCGAGGCTGGTGTCTGTGGTTGCTATTTGGCCTCCTGATTTCCCTTCGAATCTGATCCCTTCGTTAATGAGAGTGTCGATACCGGTATCACTTCATCGATTGCAAACATCTCCTTGGCGGCGGGTTGTTCCATGTACATTGTTTTGACTCTCTCCGATGTCGGGAACTTTAGAACTTGGTGAAGGGTCGAGGGTATTGCCCTAATGTTAGGGATCCAAGGCCTTCCGAGCAGGGCGTTGTACCTCATGTCACCCTCGATCACATGGAACTTTTCTTCTTGTATGGTCCCGGCCACGTTCGCTTTCCATGTTGAAGTCGTTAAGTACTCGGGCTGCGGGCACAATTTTATCTTGTAGGCCGAGCTATTCTACGACCCTTGATCGAATAATGTTGGTCGAGCTACCTGGATCAATCAAAACACGTTTAACTTGAATTTTATTCATAAGGATAGATATTACCAGTGCGTCGTTGTGGGGTTGTAATATCCCCTCTGCATCCTCGTCATTGAAAGACAAGGTCCCTTCTGGTACGTAGTCTCGAGTCCATTTTTCCCTCGTGATCGACACCTTGGTGCGTTTGAATACGGGCCCCTGAGGAATATCGACCCCTCCAACAATCATGTGGATCATGTGTTGTGGCTCTTCTTGCTCATTCTGTGTGCTTGAATCTCTATTCCTGAAGTGGTTTTTAGCCCGATCGCTTAAGAATTCTCGAAGATGCCCTTCGTTGAACAAACGGTCTACCTCCTCCCTCAGTTGTCGGCAATCTTCTGTTCTATGACCATGGGTGCCATGATATTTGCACATTTGACTAGGATTTCTCTGGGCCGGATCAGTCTGTAGAGGTCGGGGCCACCTGGTGTCTTTGATGCACCCAATGGCCGATACAATAGTTGATGCATCAACGTTGAAGTTGTATTCCGATAGACGTGGTGCTTCTTTGGGTTCGATATTTCTATCGAAACCACTCTTACTCATGAGCGCTCGAGAGCTCTGTCCTTGATCATTTCTTCTATCAATTTGAACGGGGTTGAGTCCAGACCTATTGTTTCTCCGATCTCCACCGTATGGCTGATATCGATCTCTGTTTGACCGTGGTTCCCGGTCAATATCCCTTTTAACTTTGTCGATGGTCCTGTTTGGATAAACGGACCTGGAAGGAGCCCCCAACTGGTCATCCTCAACCCTGATCTTTGACTGGTACCGATTATGCACATCGACCCAGGTTACAGCTGGATATTCGATCAAGTTCTGCTTTAACGGTTGTGAGGCTACCGAACTTCGTATGTTTAGGCCTTGAGTGAAAGCCTGAACAGTCCAATCATCGGCGACTGGGGGCAGATCCATACGCTCTATTTGGAACCGAGATACAAACTCTCTAAGCATCTCGTTGTCTTTCTGTTTTACTTTGAAGAGGTCCGACTTTCTAGTCTCGACCTTTATCGCTCCGGCGTGTGCTTTGACGAAGGAATCTGCGAGCATGGCAAAAGAATCAATGGAGTTAGGTGGAAAATTATGGTACCATATCATCGCCCCATTTGATAAAGTTTCTCCGAATTTCTTCAGCAGTACGGACTCAATCTCATCGTCCTCTAGATCGTTCCCCTTTATTGCGCATGTGTAAAAAGTGACATGCTCCTTGGGGTCGGTAGTTCCATTATACTTGGGAATTTCTGGCATGCAAAACTTTTTCGGAATGGGCTTAGGAGCGCGCTTGGGGGGGGAGGACTTTTGTACGAACTTCTTTGAATCCAAACCCTTCAAAATCGGTGGTGCCCCCGGAATTTGATCAACTCGGGAATTATATGTTTCCACTTTTTTGTCATTCGCTTCAATCTTCTTCTCCCCCGATTCAATTCGCTTTGTCAGCTCCTCGAACATTTTCAAGATAGCGGGGTCGGTCACTGACTCATTCACATTTGACCTCCCCGGCACAGGTTCGACCTTGTGAACAGCTTCCTGTGATGGCTCGGGTTCAACCCTACTCGGTGCGTGGTTCTGATTTTGAAGTTGTGTTATTGCAGCTTGTTAAGCCTGCAGCATTTCAAATATTATTTGAAGGCTGATTCCGCCTTCTTCGCCACCCTGTGCGTTCTAAGCGGCTGATCGAACGTCTCTGCGGACGTTATTTTCGGGGTCGACTCCCAGATTTGCATTCAGGGCAACATGGGAATTGACGTCGATGGGGTCTGCAACTGGTACTCTCACGAGGTCAATTGGAAGCACTTCGTTTCCTGGGGTGGCTACGTTGTCGTTTTTGCCATGAAAACCAAGGCCATTCTCGATGTGTGTGGGTACTGCTCGAGAGTTCGACATGATGATCCTGGAATCAAAAACGCTTACAAGAACAAGTGTAAAGCAGTGTGTGTAATGAAAATTAGCACCAGGCAATCACTATTATCCTTAGCCCCACGGTGGGGCGCCAAACTGTTTACCAATAAATCGGATAACAATTAAATTTATAAGTGATTTTAAGGATATGTGAATTCACTTGGCCCAAACTGAGAAATATGAAAATTGAAGTTAGAAATTAACTGTAAAATAAAGCACACCGATATATCACACAGCTTTGGCCCTTGAGCTAGGTTGCCCTCGCACCAACTAAGTGTATTATTAAAGAGTAAGAACTGAACTACTCAATAAGAAAGCTTAAGAGAGAAAGCGTAATATATTGCTTTGTTATCTGTATACGGTCAGAATCGAGCTTTCCCGATTTTGTATGGTTAATCGAGACCGGGGTGGCAGACCGAGGTTCAATCCCAAGTTATATTGGACCGTTACATGAATAAATGTTGCCTAGCTCGTCATTCAGGGATCGATCGAGATCGAGACAAACTAAGGTCGAGACCGAGAAGGATAGAGATCTAGCGAGAACGAAGGAAGCTTGCTGAGTCGAATAACAGAAAGCCGAGGAATCCGTGACCGGGCGAGGATTGTGACGGAGATCTCGGCATGTATCAAGTCAAGATCGGTTGATTAGCCAATCAAGAGATTTCCTTCTGTATTTAGAATTGTACCATATGTAGAACTCATCTACTATATAAAGAGGGTTCCAATCATTTTGTAAGGACAGATTCACACATAACAAAGTAATACATTACGTTTTCTCTCTTAAGATTTCTTATTGAGTAGTTCAGTTCTTACTCTTCAATAATACACTTAGTTGGTGCGAGGGCAACCTAACTCAAGGGCCAAAGTTGTGTGATATATCGGTTTGCTTTGTTTTATAGTTAATTTCTAACTTCAATTTTCATATTTCTCAGTTTGTGCCAAATGAAATCATATATCCTTAAAACTACTTATAAATTTAATTGTTATCCGATTTTAAGGGTAAACACTACTCTTTTTTTGTTGTTGTAAAAGTCAATAGAGAGTGTATACGATCGAAATCGGGCTCGATTATTACATGACAGATCGGACTCGAAACGCGAGGGGTTGAAGATCGACCCCGAGTCTCGTCGAACTAAAACACGAGGTTAGAACGTCCGTCCTCGAGAACATTGAGTCTACGATCCCGGAATCGACCCTAACCCCGAGTAAGCTCGAGAAAACATTGCCGGTATAACCAACAGAAGACCGAAATAACGGAAGGCCGAAGTATCCGTAACCGGTCACATATCACGGCGGAAACTCAGCATGTATCAATAGGGAACCGGTAAATCAACAAATCGGGAGTTTTTTACCTTTTATAAAATTATACCTAAAGTAGGACTCCCCTACTATATTAAGGGGGTCTGATTACTTGTAAAGGATATTGTAACACGCATCCCAAAGCAATATATTATTATTCTCGTCAAGTTCTTGTTACTCTCTTGCTGCTTCTGTTCTGATATCAATAAAAGCATTTTTGGCTGGAGGGTGGCAAACCTTCCAATGCTAAGACTGTTCAACTTGTGTGGTTAGCATTTACTTTTTCACTACTTATTTCAATTGCAATATGATTTGTCGTTCATTATCAAATGAAATCGCGTTTCCTTAAAACTACTTATAAATTCAATTGTTGTGTGATTTTGAGGGTAATCAGAAAGAGGTAAAGAAATTATATTCCCAATGAGAAAGGGGAAAGACAGTTAGGTTATCATTTGCCAAATTTGAACTCAAATGGAGCTAGGTCTCTTGAAAACCGGTTACAAAAGGAGATCCTTGACAAACAGAGGAAGTACATCACTTAGAACTAGGAGTAGTACTCAACCCAGCCACCACTCTTGAATCCCCTCTCCGCTACATCAAAACACTAACAATATTTACAAAAACAGAGCAACGACAAGCGCGCGTAACAACAACTCGGACACAGAACATACAGTCAATTAAGCAGCTGGAACATGCATGTTGAGCCTCAATTCATATCTCATAGGTCGTAAGGAGGAGGAGGGCTTCTGGGTCCAATCCCACTAGCATTCTCGTATGCAAATGGCCCTGATCGCCTGCGGAATCGAAATGCCTCCTTTCCTCCCCCACCTGCAGTACATATTTATATACATATTCAGTCTGATCCCTATACTACTTTTACATGTAACAAATTGTTGTACATTACACCCAACAGACATTAATTAATTAATAATTTCGTCCAAACTTGTTCCAAATACTAATTTGCGTTTCAATAAGGACATTTTACGCCGTTAAGCTTCAATTACGGGTAATAGAAGAAACCTCGCACAGGTCTAACTAAAGGCGCTAGTCCAAACTACTAGTACATGAAGGACCAGTTGGTTGATCCATTATGGTCTAACCAGCCATGAGCATACACGGATCCAACATTTAAATTTTATGGGTTCAACCTTTAAGACTCTTAGTATTGAACACATTATATTTATAAATTTATGAGTTCAGACCAATCATTTGTTGTAATTTTAATGAATATTTACACATAAATTTATACTGCGCGTCAAAAATTATGAATTTTGTTACAGTTGAAGCCGGTGCCATTGCTCTACATCCGCCCTGCCATGCGCAGTACGTGTACCGTACTCGTGGAAAGTGTCAAATGTCTTTTAGTGGATGTAGACAAAAATATCACCTTCTAAATTGTATCCACCTATACATTTTTGCCTTACATTATCCGTTAGAAAATTTGACATTATTATTAAATTACATAATCGGCCTCCTACCATCTTCACAGATTTGAATTTACAAAACTACCCCAACAATAGTACGCCCTCTAGATCTGTGATAGTCCGCCTTTATTGGAGGATATTTTCGGTTAACAAAAGACGTACTACTGTACTACTACGTTGAAATATATATCTTCCATACTCATTGAGCCCGGCTATAAACAAGCACTGAAATTAAGGCATACCAGCAAAGGGAGATACCGGAGGAGTGGAACCGGCACTAGCACTGGCAGGTGAAACTGGAGGAGAGTCTTTACTCAGATTCCCTGGAGGCTTTACTATCATTATACGTTTTGTCACCCTAGCCATCTCTTGACTTCCTTCTGATTCTGCAACTCAAATTTCATTAGATTCCAATATTATATCATCCAAAAAAAAAACGTACTGAAAATTTCGATCAAAGTACCTGATACGATCGAAGGACTTAATCAACAAAAAGAAAAACTATAGATTAACTAAAAGTTAATCATCAGCATATACAGGTACTTAATTCTTAGAACGTAAACATTGAGAAATTCGTAATAATGCGGGACAATCTAATTAAACTAGTTTTTGCAATACGTTTTATATATAACAGTTGTTAATTCGTTATATATTGTTGATGATGGAGGAACCGGCGGAAGATAGCAACAAAGGCGTACGTACCCTTGCCGGAACTTGAGCCCAAGTTAAAGGTAGAGGACTTTCGGAGTTTGCCAAGGCCAGTATCGGGACGGGGACCGGCGACGGTGTCGTCCCAGAGCTTGTCAAGTATGCTCATGGCGTAGGTTAAAGTATGGGAAAACCGTATGCTTAGATAGAGTGAGTGAGGTGTAAGGACGCTACGGAAAGGTCTCTTATTTATTGAGGGATTTAGCGTGAAATATCGAATAACCTTTCTGGGATGAGATTGATTCTGTATCGTTGATCTAGATCTGGGATGAGATGGACAATGGATCTATTAGCACAATGGGATAAGATCAACGTGACAAGGACGGAGTTGGTTTTTCTTTTTTCGTTTGCTTGATCTTTTAACATTTCGCCGTTTGGCAACTTCGGATAGAGTTAATCGAGTGTGTCACGTGAAGGGTACTTTTCGAGGGAAATATCGGGTATACCCTTGATTTTTTTTTCTTGAAGATTATGTTATTTAGATAGTGGTAATTACATAAATTTGTTTGTTTTGCTATAACATAATTTTAAGTTAATTTCATGTGTCATGTTCGGTCACAAGCGTAGAACACATAATACACATTCTTTTATTTTTAAATTAAAGTAATAATAAAATTTAATAAACTTTTTTAAATGGATAACTAAATAAACTTTAATGTATAACAAATATATGTGCGTATAAGATATTAAAAGTTATTTATTGCTATATATAAATATAATGTGTAATGATTATAAATATATAGTAATTTATATTACAAAAAGTAATACTCTCTTCGTTTCAATTTAGATGACACACTTTGCTTATTAGTCCGTTCAAAAAATAATGATACATTTTTATAATTGAAAATAATTCAACTTTAAACTTTTTATTTTACCCTTAATGAGAAACTTTTATAACCACACAAATGTCATAGCCACACAAAGCTTTTACCCCTTAAGCGTTTAGGACCACACAAAAGTCTCCCTCTTTTATCTTAAACTCTGTATCGAGTCAAATTACAGCATCTAAATTGCAACGGAAAGAGTGCTAGGTATCTTTCGCTCATGTGAACATATTGAAACTTATTATTTTGTTCTATTTTTTAAATAACAAAAGAATATGTATGAGTTTAGAAAGTATTTTCTTATTATAAATATTTGTACTAATAAATGAAAAAAAAGAAATGCTAGTATAACACAAAATTATTTTTAACAAATGCTCCTCACATATTTAAAATGAAAGTAATAGAACAAGAATAATAAATCTAAAAAATAAGTTATAAAAGAGACTTAGAAATATCACCTAGTAACCGGTGTACAATTCTCAACTCCCCTAAAAATTAAAGAATGTAATTGCCTCCCCTCAATTATATTCCACTACATACTGATCAAGTAAAATGCTATCTTTACACACCAATTGTAACTAAATCTACTTACAGGGTGTTTTTGAACTTATGAGGATATTACCCTTAATATGAGGGTGTGAAGGTGGAGAATTACGATAGAAAGTTAGTAGATAGTTAAAAAAATTTCTTTTTTTTACTAGTAGTATTAGTAGCACTCATGTACTTTCATATTCTTAAATCTATATTACGTCATGTTATTTAGTTCGCTTCAGTTATCATATTTCCCTGTTGTTACTATTTGGTACTACTTATTATCTTCTTCCTCTTCCTCTTCCTCTTCCTCTTCTTCTTCTTCTTCTTCTTCTTCTTCTTCTCACATTTTCTGAGCCGAGGATATATTAGAAATATCATCTCTACCTTTACTAGGTAGGGATAAAATCTACGTACATATAATCCTCTCTAAACCCCATATACAAAAATATACTGATTTTTTTTTATTGTTGTTGTTGTTGTGTTCTTCCAAACAAGCTCTTAATCTAGAAGATTATGTTGAACTAGGCAAATTCTCGCGAGTTACAATCTTTTCTATGGCTCCTCTTTTTCATCATGGTGCTTGATTATTGGTGGCTAATAATAAGGATTATTTGATTCACATACTAGTTATAATGAGAGTTATAATATATGAATTATTTATGCAGTAATTAAATGAAGGAATTACAATGCTTTAATTAATAATAAAAAGATTGTCATGAAATACTAATTATAAAAGGCCATTTATGTCTTAAACTAGTTTGATCCTCACGCTACTAACACACGTATTCTTAATCCATATTCTATCACGTGATAACTTAATGCAATTATATTATTTAATTTAAAACTGCCAACTAGTTTAAAATTATCTTTTTCTTATGCGATTAACCAAATATTATATAATATCTTATTCAAAATTTTATAATGGAAATAATTACCCCAGTACATCCAACCAAACGACTCCGAGAGTAAGAACTTATTTAGGCTAATAAGTTGATGCAACTCCAAACTTTAATTTACAGTAAGGTATCAGCTCAATTGTTAGGCAGGTTATTACTGCTCACAAATTTGTCAATGTGATAACTTAATTATCGATTGTTCTTTTAACTTGAAACAGTAAGCAAAACTATAACGCAACTCTCGAAGAATATTTAGTTTATAATTTGAAGAAGTAGTCAATGGGGCCAACAGATTCATTTTGGGTAAATTGATCAAGGGATAGTTTATGAAAACTACCGGTTATGTCCATTTATAAATAGTTTATTATAAAAATTGTTCAATTTATAAAATATTACTAATATTAGCCAAATATTATTAATATTAGCCAATTAGCTATTTGTAGCAAAACAAAGTCTAATTTTTGCTTTCTTTTGAGTGGGTATTATTAGAATAGACTAGGTACGTCTTAAGGAGTTTGAATCTCAGTTGTGGGATGATTTGGTGGAGTTTTGAGCTGGTTTGAATTGAAAATTCGAAGTAAAAAATGAACATGAAAAAAAATAATATGTGTATCACACTGTGTATTATTTGTGTATCACATATGTATTATATTTGTATCAATTGTGTATCACATGTATATCTATGTATACCTGTGTGTGCGATACATTCGTGATACATATTTGATATATGTGTCGCAGAATGATTTTTTAAACTCGATTTAATTACGAATTTTGATACCAAACCAGTCCAAATCACCTCCAATCTTATTCAAATTTTGTATATTGACTTATCTATATGTTTTCAATGAATTTTAACTATACACATTGAAAAAGGTCCCTTTTTGCTTAGAGTTTTGGAATATTGTATATATTTATTTTTGTATTTCATCACCTTATTTGCTACCTCATCCATGAAATTTTCTTTTCGTCTTGTATCTAATATTGCTAATCACGTATAAAAATATGAAAAGAGATTTTTGTGTGTAGTTCTTTGAGAGAAAGAACTTTATTTATTTGGTTTTTTAATTTTTATATGTGTTTGGCTAGTTTTGGTAAGTCTATGACTAATGGCTAGAGGTTGGTAAGTTGAGACTTATTTGGGACATTTTTGTAAGTTTTTCATAGTTTATTACTGGTCATCGAAGTAAAGGTTCATCCCGCAAAGGTCATTATTCTAATTTTTATCACTTATAGATCATCCAACTGAACCTCGACTAACTCATAAATAAAAACAGTGACATTCTTCTAACCTACAAGGCGCTTTTTATTTTAGCAGGGGTAGTGTCCCAATAAAGTTTTTTTGGATTCTATTGATCAGCTTAATAGTGTGGGATGACAGTTTAGTGAATTGCATGACATGGCTAGGAATACTACTGAGAGAGGCTTTGGCCAATATAGTTCTACTTGTCATGTTCAGGTAAGTAGTGTTCCAGCCAGCTAACTTTGAATGCATGTTGTCTGTGATGAATTAAAAATAACTGTTACAGGCCTTTTGTGAAAAATTGAAAAGCTCGGGTATTTGCCAAAGGAACTGCTGGGTTGAATAGAGAGATTGACATAGTGATTTAAGACCTGATCAGGTTTGCAATTAGAAGAGAAGATGACTTTGAACTTTAATAAATTTATTTTCTGACGAGAGAATTCATTGAAGGAGTAAAGAGAATGGATGATGGTGCTACAAACTTTTGCGTTAGCTCTGGCAAAAAGAGTTAAGTCAACAGCAAAGAAAAGATGAGAGATCTTGGGACCAACCATGCTGATGCTAAATGGAAACCATTCTTTGGCATCAGCAGCTTTGTCAATGAGCCTAGGGAGCCTTTTCATGCAAAGGATAAAGAGATAGGGACATATGTGGTCTCCTTGTCTAATACCCCTAGTAGGCCTGAATGAAGCAGTCTGTCCTCTATTAACCAGTATGGAGATAAAAAATGAGCCGACATAAGAGAAAATAAGCTTAACGAGATAGTGGAAAAATTGAAAGCATGAAGGGTGTCTCTAATGAAAGACCACGCTAGCATGTCAAAAGTTTTTTCCAGGTCAATTTTCAGAATCATGTTGGAATTTTTGCCTTTCATCTTTTTAAAGTGGGTAATGTATTTATTCATGATAGCATTTTCAGATGCTCTCCTATTTAATAGAAAAATGGCTTGACTAGACTAATAATATGAGAAATATAGGGCTTAATCCTATTAACAACAATCTTTATCATTATTTTGTAGATTGTATCGCAAAGCCCAATAGGTCTAAAATTTTAGCATAGTAACATTTGGACACTTAGGGATAAGGCACATAAGTGTGGCATTCATAGTGGAGTGGATGCTTTGAGAGTCAAATGAGTTCCTATAGAACTTAATGATAGCTTTCCCATTATCTCTAGTATTTTTGATAAAAGAAAGGATATAGACTATCAAGGCCTACAACTTTGAAGAGTTTGAAGGAGAATATGGGTTGATTGACCTCACTATCTCTTATGGGGGAAGCCAGGCTGCCCCTTTAGAGGTTGGAGATAATTTGTTCCTGGCTGTGGGAGTTAGAGGTCGGGAGAGGGGATTGCGTACGGGAAGAGGTGTAAAGGCAATTGAAGTAGTTTAAGATGGAATCCATCATATCACGCTAGTCATATTGACAATTCCCATCTTCATCTCTAAGAGAGAAGATTCTATTCCTCCTTCTTCTATTGAGGGTGGAGTATGAAAAAATATAGTGTTGGCATCCCCATCAGCTAGCCAGCAAATTCTAGACTGTAACTTCTAAAAATCTTCCTTATTCTTAAGAATGGAGTTATATATTTCAATCAATTTGGTTTCTAGATTTAAGAGTAAATGATTGTGATGGCGGTGGGGGAATTTTTTGAATGTCAGCTATTCTAGATATATGCCTATTTTTCTTGAGAAGATATTGTCAAAGGTGTTCTTGTTCCATTAAATAACACCCATTTTGAATTGATGAGTGGCTTGGAT